TAATAAAACAGAAACTACTACCATATTTCCATAATGTGATTAAAGTTTATAGAATTTCCAGCGATGCCAGGTCATCTTCAGTTGTTGAGAAACAAAAACATAGACTAGCCCGGATTTTCTTTGTGTCCAGCATTTTAACCATGTTTGAGGCTTAAACTTGACAAAGTTTGTGGAGGTGGGAGCGTAGGCGAAGAGGTAGGAGGTACTTTTGTTGAAGAAGACGTGCTGAACTCTGTTGTCCTCACTTCCACAGATAAAAGTGGAACCAGTCATCCCAGCCCCGAGTCCAGTTATCCCCAGACTAACCCTCCGAGTCGGTGCTGGCCAAGACAAGATGTAAGTACCGTCGCTCCGATCAGTAACACAAATGCAACTTAACCTTCTCTGTCCTTCTAAGGCACTTAGAACTCTACGGACCTTTTCCAGGTATGAACATGCAGGGTAAAGCTTTCTTTTGCGAATGCCTCCTTTTAAGTTTTTATTGGTTTCTTCCACAGAGTAAATGCTTTTTGCTTTATTGAACACAGAGGATTCTTTTTTTCCTGTTCTTTTTCTCTTTTTTAGAGACTAGCACATAACATTGTTTCTGTATAGTGTTTAAGGTCCTGGTTATCTGAAAAATGAACTGTGTTAGACGAGCTAACTGCCATTTTGCACTCAGGTGGATGTGGTGTTAAACCTCCGCGAGTGCCTATTACTGATCACGGTGACAAAGAACAAAGATTCTCTTTCTGCTCAGATGGCAAATGGTTTTACTCTGTACCTATAAAACAAAGCTGCTGCCAAAAGCTCGGTGAAACCGTATGTCACAGTAACAACTAGTGTCTTAGTTGTCCATGTTTTTTTAAGAGAGAACTAGAAATATAAACCCCATGTTTGTGTTTATTTGTCTTAATTTTCATGGAATCATATCAACCCACATTTCTTTAAAGTAAATTAGTTGGATATTTCTCTTTTATTCATTGTTTTGGGGAACCATTAAGGCCTACAGTGCTCTTACATGATCCTAAGAAGGTAATGAAACAGTGATTTTTTTTGTGTAAATCATGTTGAAAATCATTCTCCTTGTTCTAAAAGCATATTATGTGTGATTTAAATAAAATTCACTAGCTAGAAGTATTAGTTTACACCCTTGTTTTTTCCCAGTAAGCCTAAAAATGGAATTTACATTGTAATCAATCAAATATTGTGTAGAAAATAGACTTATAAGGCATTCCATTTCCATTCAGTTTTTAGCCGTAAAAGTGAGAGTAGGACCCATGAATTTATTTTGTAGCTAGAATAGAGAACAGAACATTTACTTTGTGTTCTGAGCAGTTCATTTCCTCTTAAAGTTTGTGTGTATTTTATGCTGCTGCTTCCATCAGCTCCAAAAGTCGTGCAGAGAACAAGTCCAGCCAGTGCACGGTAGCAGAGAAGCAAAGTTGGTTTTCCAGGGGAGTAAATACTGCTCTGAAGATTTAAAGGAGAAAATCCAGATGGGTTGTTATTTTTCTCACCTAAACTCTCTGGATAATTTCCACACTACCCTTTGTGGTTGTGTGGTAGATACTTAGACAGTAGGTGTTCAGACTGCTGACAAGCTTAGAAAATACAACAAAAATGCCACGGATTCAGCTTTTTTAAGCCAGCTGTCTGGAGTGCCTGGTGCCCTCTATCTTACCCACAAAAGTTTGAATAGTGTCCTCGTCCCTCACGCAGCAGAGCTCAGAGAAGAACCAACCAAAGTAACTCTTCTTCCATCTCCTTGGAAATTCCCTGTGTGGGCTCATTTCTCTAAAGGGAAGATATTCATCATTCAACAATACTTTTCTCCTCCCAGTTCATACTTATTCCTGTTTTCTCAGCTCACCATTACTTAGCTTTACTCCCACACAGAAGTTTGGCTTGTCGTTTGAGAAATAAGTTTGTGAAAAGGCATTGGTGGCTGTTGACCAAGACTTACGTGCACACATGGTAGTAACATTCATCGGGTGTCAGGCAGGTGGGAGGGCAGGAGGGGATGGGTATGTTCACACCTAATGAGTGCGGTGCACACTGTCTAGGGGATGGACACACTTGCAGCTCTGACTCAGGAGGGACAAAGGCGATATATGTAACCTAAACATTTGTACCCCTGTAATATTCTAAAATTTTTTTAAAAAAAGGCATTGGAAGTTATATTCAACTCATCTGCCCATAAGCATCTTTCAGTTGTTTTATTGACTATTTTTTCTATTTTCTCCTCTCAGTAAATCACTCATACACATTAAATATTGGAAGATGTGAGAAATAAATCCTATTACTTTGAAACAAAATGTCCAGTGTCGGGGAAATTAGAATACCCAGACATTCAAGACAAATTGGCCTTGAAAGTGTAATATTATATATCATGTAAACGTTC